CCCCGTCTCGATGAGTCTCATCGTCGCCCACTGGTCACCCACCATAGCCGGTCGAACTCCGGACGAAGCTAGAACAGCACTACCGTTCATACTGGCGACAACGCTCTGATGAGAAAACGAAACCCTACCCCAAGCTCCTCCCCTGATCCTATCCTTCGAAAATGTACCCTTCTAACCTCGAGTAAGCCGCGAGTAATCGGCCCAACTCCTACTAGACATAGAATTAAGTGAATCTTGTTACACACAGTGAACAATGAATTATCGGCTCCGTAAAGCTAACGCGATTGAGCCTTCCAAATAAACGAACTAGATAAAAAAAAAATAACCAAACAAAATTTAATTAAGTGCTTATTTCAACAAACAATCTAGAAGCGAACCAGAACCATGATCGTAAACAATGTTGAAAGCATTTTACTGTTTGAGTGATTAGGAAAGCCAAATCGAAATTAATATCACACCACTGCAAGAGCAAGTTTTTTGACGTAGTACTACGTCTGTGATTTCTATATGGGGGTACACTTTGTGAAAACCGAAAATAGAGTAACAAAACTGTTGCTTTGATAGTTAAAAATCATCACCGATTGCCTGCGAAAAGCGATTTCCCTAACACAGATTTCAAAGTTGAATTCCATCCGGCCTCTCCAAACGGTGGTTATGCAATCACCGCGTGGTGAGTGATGGTGTTCTCCAGCTCCAGTACACAACGAAAGGCTGCCTGCAAACAGCGAGCTGCAGCCCATGCATCCATAGAAGGAGGAAGAAGCCACACCGCTATTGATCGGAATCAGTAGCTCTTCGTGAGTTGCTGTGGGCCATCTGTGTCAAGCACGTCATACTAAAGTGTATAAACAGAGTGAACCTCGCTCAAATTTCTGTTCCTACACAAATACAAGTTCCTGCTGCAGTTAACTAATAAGAATTATTATATAAGACCACGTACTCCTACGTCACCATTGCGTACAACCCCATAGGGCTGTCTCTTGTAGGTTTTTTGTATAACGTATTGCTCTTTCACTGTGCAACAAATCTGAACTTTTTTTTCTAGGACTGAGAAAGTTGACCATACACAGAAAAAAACAGTTGTTGAATATTACATCCAAACTGCTGCAACCAGGTCAATCCATCGGTTGTGTAATATAACGTTGTACGATGTACATCGATTTTGCGAACAAAATTACATCCATTGATGTAATATTGTATCTGCTTTTTGCTATTACATCATTATTTCATACATCAGCTTGAACTACATTGATCGATATTACATTTTTTTGCTGTTTATTTGACATTCTTGTGGACCCCTGAGTAAAAGTCCTGAACATACCTATACCCTAAAACGTCCTGATTTTTTGGTACCGCCCTCTTTATGAATTTTGGTATGTTGTCCCGATGTCGGTTGTATACTGCCTAACTAAAGCATGTTACGACTATGCCGTCCAGGAGTTTTTTTTTAGAAAATGACTTGAGAAACATTTTTTTAGAACATTTGAAAACGATATCTCGTTGTCTTACCCCTCGAGGTGAGGCCCAGTGAATTTGCCGTCTCTTTCGATCTTCGGCTGTTTGAATGGATGACGGAGTTGGACGTCACACTTGTATAACTATTGAAAGAGCGGAAGAATAAAAGAGACGGCAAATTCACTACGCCTTTCCTGTTTACATATCGTGGATGGATGATCAGTAGGTAGATTTCACAACACATCCCGTCCCTGGTCAAACTTTCATAGCGAATCAAAACAAACATAGTTTGGTACTAGAACTTTGACTAGAATCGAGTAAACTTACTACTACTTGGGACCAATAGGCTAGTCAAGTAGTGTGTCAATTTAAAATCGCTAGTTTCCACCGGTTTTTTTTTTATTATTTAATGGCGGTAAGCTCCAATCGGTATTATCCTCGGATTAAATCCCGAACAAGAATGTCCGGCTGCTTTGATGTCGACATCAGAGTTATTCAACACGATGCTATGCAAACAATTCGCAGATCATCCAAACAGGGACGGTATTAAAAGTTAGTCCGAGCTGGAGGTTATAAGAGGTTTTCAGCCTAAAGGCTGGTTCGCCTCTAAATTTCCACCGGTTTTTAATACCCTGGTTACTATTTTTTTTTGTGAAATGACAAAATGTTTTCTTGAATTTGTAGAAAAAAATTTCAAGGAGTTGAATGATAAGTTTGAAATAGCCTTTCCTATCATTTGAACTTTACCATGGACGAATATTTTGATTTTTTTTATTAAGAACTTCAGAAAAGAGGCTTTTCTGAAAAAAAAAAATCTTGGGGAATTTGATCAGCCAGCGCACAGTGGGCAAAAATTGACAATACCGCAACTAAATTGAATATCTCGGCTGCCAAACGGTTTCAGTCAACATGTTATACATATTCTCAAAGGAAAAACTCTGCTGAATCGATTTGTGGTGGTCTCATTGGCCGGAAACTTTTGCGTACCGAGATAGAGGACCGGGATCAACCCGAGTTCCCGGTAAAGTAGGAAATGCCACTATCGATCGACACTTTACACCAAAATTGAAATTTATTAAATTCGCTTTGATCTCATGATTCTGAACAAACATAGAAAAAATCGCAAGGTTCTAGGACAATTTTTATAATATGGCCACTTTATCGGTCAATCCCGATTATCTCGAGAACCAGAATATGGCCACTATACCCCAAAATATAGTTTCCATATTAAATACGCTTTGATCTCTTGATTCTGAACAACATAGAAAAAATCGCAAGGTTCTAGGACATTTTTTATAATATGGCCACTTTATCGGTGTTCCGGATTTTCCTTTAGGCCAGTAGAGTTTCCCTGAGGGCGTATATGGTGTCTTAACACCATATATACTTAGTGCTATCAATTTCCAGTAATATACGTTAAGTAAAGTGTAAAATTATGTCGATAGATAGTGGCATTTCCTACTTTACCGGGGACTCGGGTTGATCCCGGCCCCCATCTCGGTACGCAACAGTTTTCGGCCAATGAGACCACCACCAATCGATTCAGCAGAGTTTTTTATTTGAGAATATGTATAAGATGTTGACAGAAACCGTTTGGCAGCCGAGATATTCAATTTAGTCGCGATATTGTCAATTTTTGCCCACTGACTGTGCAGCGGGGTGCAGTATTTTCGTTATTTCAGAGCGTAAGCATGCATGCAACTAAAGAGGCTGAATTTATAAAGAGATTTTACTGTTTGAGTGATTTTACTGTTTGAGTGATCGTTTGGAACAATCGATTTTCTGTCAAAGTCATAGGAAAAGTCATTCCAATCGAGCAGAAGACCTGTCAAATGGATAAGATGTCGCCTCTTTATAAATTCAGGCTCTTTACATGCAACAATAAGAATGAGAATCCTCAGTGATGAATTACACTCTATCAATGCTGAAAATTATCATCATCACTGATAGTTTTCAAGCAATATTGACAGAATTAATGTTGACATTGTCGCTGGAAGAATTAACCACTTCACTCGAGCAGTTCAAATGACGTTTACTACCACTCGAACTGAGATATAAAACATTATATTTGAGATTTTTTCTTCTAGAACCACGTGAAAAGTAGTCATCATTTGTGCGTTTCATAAAAAAAATAGAAATTTGTTGGTCCAGTTTTGTGAAATCGCTGGCAGAAAGTCACGCCAAAACTGCTTGACAAAGTGGTCAATTGACTCTGGCATAAAGCTTCTTCAAAAATTAATTAGTTTTATCGTCATTGACAAAGGTCCAAAAGTTGTAATTTCGTGCAATTTCTTTTATATTTTTGTTATCTAGACAGTTACAATCATAGATGCTAGTTGCCTTTGACGACTCCATGGTTTTATTTTGCTTAATTTATTTAATTTGGTTACACATTTAGATGATAACAAAAACTACACTTGTTCGTCACTGACTTGAAGGTGACTGACGTCACTCCTTTGAAGGTGATCTTCATGGTTCATGGTTGATATTTTGCAGAACTGCATCACCACTGATCAATTTGATCAATTTACGGTACCTTATTTTCTCAAAACCGCTGGTAGAAAATCGACTCAAAACTGCTCGAATTATGCATTGAATGGACCCCTTTGTCAAACCGTTTTACCGTGACTTTCTACCAGCGATTTCACAAAATTATACCAACAAATTACTATTTTATTATGAAACGCACTACTTTTGGCTACTTTTCTCGTGGTTCTAGAAGAAAAACCTTCAAAATATTGTGTTATTTCGAAGTTCGAACTTAGAATGAACTGCTCGAATTAAATGATTAATTCAACAGATCAAAGATATTTATCTAGCACTTAACGTTTACTCGAATTTCGAAATAAAACAACATTTTGATAAGTTTCCTTCTAGAACCACGAGAAAAGCAGCCAAAATTTGTGCGTTTCATAAAAATAAAAGTAATTTGTTGGTCCAGTTTTATTAAATCACTGGTAGAAAGTAACGCCAAAACTGCATGACATTGCCTGTTTTATTTTCTGTTTTTTTAACTGTAACTGTAAAAATAATAATCGTGGTTGTGAATTTGAGGAAATACCTCAAAATCCCCTCACCCATCAAGTGAGCTAGGCAAAGGAGGAGTGCGCATTTGATTAGTATTGTCGCATTAATAGCCCTTCGCTCAATTTCAACTTCTGTTCAATTTTCTCACTGCCGTACTCTAACGGAACTATCAATCTATCCTCTTCAGAACTTTCTCTAGCTAATAAATTATCTAATCTAAGGCTTCATGTTGATTTTAGTATAGCATTTTCTCCCAACTCTGTGATCGGATAATTTTACGCATTAAGTAACAAACACTTTGATTGGAAGTTCAAAACCGTTTTGTGAGTGACTAGGTATCTCACGTGACGTTACAATGCTACAAATGCAAATTATTCTCTGAAGTATAAAAGTTCAGTTACAACGTGGTGGTTTATAAGGCAATCTGGCCAGTGCTGCTATTATTCCGAACAGCACTGCATGCATCTACCTACTTTTTATGCGCAACAGTAAAAGCAATATAATCGAATGAAACTTACATGCCATTGGTCGTTCCAGACGGTCGTATCGGCAACCATGTGTTAACCGCGAAAGCAGCTGTGTTTGGGACAGTTTGTTGGCTTCATCCAGCGCTGGGCAGTCCGATTCTCTGTAACAGTAAATGAACGAAGTTTAGAGGCTATTTTTTAACAATGTATATTCGGTATACAGTGGATAATATTAACACTAGGGAGATTCAAAATATATATTTTGTTCCACCCGGCTCATTCGATTGCAATCATTCTCCCATAATTAGAGCTCATTTTGTATCTTTTGATATCGATCTCATACTGCACTAACCGTTTAAAAATTAGGGGAAATGGCTTTAATGTTGGCCTATGGATCTAAGATTGGGCCCATTGCTAAAAATCTGCTATTTATCCATTTTATCTAGATAAACGCGTCATTGGGACTGTACTAATGGATATTTAAGGTCGCTGTTGAAAATTTAGTCGTTTGCTGAATGCTTGTTTATGTATGGGCCCAAATTAGGGGCATTTAGGCCGACGTTACATCCATTTCCCCTACATGGGAAAAGTAAACTTTTTGTTCTTATCTTGCTAGTCTTTCGTCATTATGATTTACAGGAAAGATTGTTTCTATACTTATGTGAGTCCGATAACTTTCAAATATAATAATTAATCATCTGCTGCAAGTTGCCGCCTCCTGCACTGTGACATATGTAGTAGCCTAAATTAAATGGTACCATTCTTCCTGCCAAGTACACAAATCTCGCCTGCTTAGCAGTTGATAGGCATGTAAAAAAAAGCCCCACCCGTTTGGCATAATGGATATTTGGCATAATTGACATTTGGCATAATTGACATTTGGCATAATTGAAATTTGGCATAATTGATATTTGGCATAATGGACATTTGGAATGATATGTGGAAAACCGCTACTTATACCGTCTTATTCCGATACTTTTCCGACTGCTTCCGGACATTCCGCTTAGGTAGGATTTCAATCAATGCCCCTCCATCCTTGTTCTTGATTCCTTTGTATAAAATGTTCCTCTTCCGATTGAGGAAACGAAGCATTTATGGAATTTCCTTCTCCACGTCCATATAAACACCACGCACTCTTGTGTGCATGTCAAGGCCCAGCTAAACAGGAAACTTCTTCCTGGAGACACACTTAATCTTTCCATATTCCACCAGCACTAACACCAGATCGTGATCCTCTGATGGAAGATCGTACACCCGAACGTATTTAACGTTGGTGAAATGCTTACGTCAACTGCCCCCCCCCCCCTTAACAACACATGTAAGATTTGTACATAATTGTAAGGTGTGCTATTTATCATCGCAGGATGTTACTCGCAAAAAAATCCGTTCCCATATTTGTGAACGAGAGCCGTGAACTATTTCAAGGTCTACACTGCTATCTCCATGCTTCGGAATATGGATAGACTAAAAGCGAGTAAAAAGCGCTCATAGTACAATACACTGAAGTCTTTTTTATGCGGTTTTTTACACGGTTTTCGCGATATACACGGTACGTTTTTAACGATTTTTCGACAACGATACAATCTATTGACTTGATTCCAATCACATTATCGATTTCAAGCTATAGGTAATCGAATGGCATTTTTAAAAAAATCACAATTTTTGGTGTAAAAAAAGATGTGAGTGTAATTTGATTTCACATGTTTTTTTCCGCTGAACGAGAATTGGAGAAAATCGAAGCGTGCATCGTTCTACAATGTTATAAATAAAAAGCTTGGTGGTATACATAGTTGAAGATGCTAATTTCAAATAACAGACTGTAGTGGTAATTTTTATACGATAGATGGAGTAGATGAAAGCATAGAGTTGATAGTTCCGTTAGAGTACGGCAGTGTGAAGATTGTATATAGATATTAGACAAGCGAGCTAGGACAACTTTTAAGGAAGGTACAAATCGGTTTTTTCATCTCTCTTTAACAAACTCCCCCTTTGGAGAGGGATGGTGAGGGGTGTCCCCCCCCCCCCGCCACCACTGGCAAAAAGAGATGAAAACCGACCCGCTCAAGTACCAACTGTGTGTTTGAAACAGTTCTACCGATTTTTTACCGCACTTCAGTTGTTATTTGAAGGCAGGCATCCAGTCGTAGGTTTGGAAATTGCAACTATTGTTTACCCCTACCACGATATGTGCTCCTGTCATCGTCGACTGGACGATCTCGAGGGGACACGGGTGGGGTAGGTGCTGCTACTGTACCTTTCGACCATTGACAGTAATTGATGGTATGCTCCCTTCCAGAGTTATGTACTTTGACTATATGTTTTTAGTATTACTTCTACGTGAAGTCAACGATTTACATAGTTGAAGATGCTAATTTCAAATAACAGACTGTAGTGGTAATTTTTATACGATAGATGGAGTAGATGAAAGCATAGAGTTGATAGTTCCGTTAGAGTACGGTGGTATAGTCGAAAACGTAGACAGAACACGACATAAAAAAGATAAAAAATCAATGCATCGTCCGCATGGCAAACTCATATAATTTTCTGCGGTATTCGCTGCAGCGGATGATAGGAAATGCAACTATTATTGAATGTAGTACATGTTAAGCTTGCGTACGGGGTTATGCAGCAATGTATACTGCATTGATTTTTCCGATTTGAACGCCATCTCCTCCGCAATCCTGTACGTTGCATCCATCTCAACGGGATCCGCTTCCTGTCTCTTCATAAAACTGGAAATTTCGCATATGGAGGGCTTCGCACTTCCATTTGGGAAACCAAATCCAATTGTGTTCTTCACTTCCACGCAGATAATCAAAACATAGTATGCAACCAACAATATAGAAAAAAAAAACGCTTGTAACGACTACCACGATAAACCATAGAGGTAACTCTAAGACTAGTAGGTCCCGAAGAAAAGTGCTCAACTTTTTGGCTCAGCTCTGGTACTATCTTCGGTCCCAAGCTAATCGATGTACCTCTCGAAACATAGGAAAATCCACGAACCCCTCATTTTATTTGTCAAACTTTCATGGCAAATCAAAACAAACATTGTGTAGTACTAGAATTTCGACTAGAATGGGGTACGTTAATCGATTTGAGTTTAGTGATGTTTGAGACCGATTTGGTTCAAATTTTGAATAAAGCCTTAGGATTGCTTAGGGAATCTCACGATTCAATGACTACAGCTAAGATGAAACGTGGGTTCTATCAAAGCATTGTAAATTGAATCAATGATATGTTATCTAAAAGAGACATATCAGCAAACCTTGGAAGCTCACTCATCAGTATAAGAGCAATTATATTGAGTTCTGGTCATTTCGGGATTGACGGAAATGAAAGAGTTGATGCACTAGCAAGACTCGGATCTTCACATAAGTTCATAGGGCCAGAGCCCTTTTGTGGCTTATCGGCTGCATCTCCTAGAATGGAGCTAAAAGTGTGGAAATCTTCAAAAGTGAAGGAAAACTGGAACAACATTTCCATTGCTAGGCAGTCGAAGCGATTCAATAATTCAAACATTTCTGTGACCCACGAAGTCCTGGAACTTTCTAAAAAAGATCATAGTATATATACAGGTCTTTTAACAGGTCATTGTCCGAGCCGTTTTCAGTTGAAGGCTCAAGACACCGTCACTTCTTCCTTTTGAAATATTCTTCGATCATCATCATTAGAATACACATACATTTCCACACTAGTCATCCAAAAGCTTAAAGCAAATATTTCCTTATTTTCCAGCGATAATTTGCTGGTTAAACACTTTTACTACATTCACTTACTTGTGTTCTTCGTAACATTTCAGAATTTCGTGCAATCGAATACATGGAATTAAAACAAAACTGCCTCTCAACCCTATAGGTGACCAAAATAAAACACAAAGAAAACCACTTTAACTCTACTACTTTGCTAGCGAACGCAAAAGTATCATTGAACAAGTGTTGCCAGATGTATTTCCTTTAGCAATGAATTTCAGTTTACTAGATAAGTAAATACAAAGTTCTACTCATTAACTTAGATAGCTGGATGTGTTTACTGGTGATCAATTATCAAAAACTGAATGAATAAAACTAAAAGGACCTATTTAGGCACATTAACGTTCCAACTAAAAAGGTTACATTGAATTAAACACAAACAGAGGAGATGGCAGCAGTTCATGTAACCTGAAATTCACTTTCCCACGCCAATTCAGTCTCTTTATTTAAGATAATGTCTGTCGCTTCTGTGACATAGAAAAGGAAGACTCGGAAAACTTGCTGTCACTGTTCTTCGACAAGGGGCTGATAGAGCCCTTTGACATTTCGAGAACAACTCCCAGTACGGCAGTGCACTTTTCTCGAAGTGTAATGCCTTGCTGGGATTTTACTAATAGTTAAACAATCGCGATCACTCCTAATAATAATAGTTATGGTGATACCAACAATCAATACGAAACTAACGATTTAAAATTGGCTCACTACTTGACTAGCCTATTGGTCCCAAGCAAACGATTAACGTACCCCATTCTAGTCAAAATTCTAGTACTACACAATATTTGTTTTGATTCGCTATGAAAGTTTGACAGATAAAATGAGGGGTTAGTCGATTTTCCTATGTTTCGAGGGGTGAATCGATTAGCTTGGGACCGAAGATAGTACCAGATAGAGCCAAAACGTTGAGAACGTTTCTTCGGGACCTACTAGTCTTAGAGTTACCTCTATGGTGATACGGCATCTTGATATAGCTAAAAAAATGGGAATATATCTCAATAGATCAGAAAAATGGTCGCAGTGATAAAAATATTCGACAAAAATAGTTAAATTAAAAAAAAATGTCAGAAAAATGCGATTTGTTTGTGTAAAAAATCATATTGTTGAAATTATTCTAATAATTTCAATGAATTTCAGTAGAATCGCCATAAAAGGGTGAGTATATTGAATGTTCTGGCTTTTGCTTTTCAAAACAGTTTAAAAATCAAAAATCGTTTGAAAATTATTGAGTTGCTCATGATAGTATGCAGTCCTTTACGTAAAATCAGTTTTTTAACAGTAACTTTTAATTTAGGTGGTGTTAGAACTATTTCAAATGTGATTCCATGGTGTACTCGACTAGACTAACATCCTACAATGCGTCACTTGAAAAAAAAAATTTTTTGTCGTGCAACACCGTGTTATCAATGCCTAAT